AGAATCTACAGCTGTCTAACAAAGCTGTCTCAGGTATCTGTACCTTGGACCGTGCCGCGATGCTTGAGCCAGCCATTCGTTTCAGAAAGCCCATTTCAACCCCTTTTTCCCTGAATCAACAGTTTTTCGGTTGATGAACCGCGACTCATCATCATAGGTGAGCATAAGGATAAAAATCGATCTGAACATGGATGGATCAGTGCCCTCTAGTACAAAGTTCATTGGTGACAGATGTGTCAGAATGTTTAGCCACTAAGATGGTTCGAAATGCATCCATGCACTACATGCGCCCAAATGGTACGCGGAGCCCCCTAAAGTGGTTTCCTATGTTCCCAGTAGTGAGTTACCAGTTCAATGCGCCCTAAACGTCTGCTTTGAAATATTTGTTGATATGTGGAATGGCCTCATATAAAATTTATGGCGTGATCATTTAGAAATTGCTCACCGGACCGACGCTTCCCAACCGGACGAGGTACCAAATGGCGGATCACAAAAGGACATGCACAACTTGGAGCAACTGGTGGCTGATGTGGACCGGAACATCCAGCAGTTGATCAGAGAAAACGTTGAAATTCAGCAACAGAACATACAGATGGACATTGGTAGGCTTTCTTCTGAAATTGCGTCGATGAACGATGTAGTGATCGCTCTCGAGAAACAGTTGGCCGAAACGAGGAGCGAAATCAACGAGACTGAAAAAGAAGTGACGTCCGCACAAAAGGGCTTATCAGTCGATTTTATGACCTTATCAGGCGACAGTGATCAACTCAATCTGCAGGTACTGGACAGCGAGTTGAACTCACTCGAACAAACGATTGGAGAGAAGCAATCGCTCTATCAACGCCTGTTGCAGAGCTTTGCCCAACTCAATGTTGCCTCTTCCGCAGATGAACTGAAGGGAACGTCGCCGTTGCCGCCGGAAACACCCGACGACACGGTCGACCGTTCTTCAACCTCACCTCTAGCGAGTGAAAACCATTGTCCGATTGTCATACAGAACGAAACGACGTCCGGCGTATGGGTTTGAACGACGGTGTACAGATGCAGAGGTCTTGGTGCTAATAATTTACTTAGAATTGACTGTATTTTTTTACTGACGAATCTGAAGTAGTTTCTGCATAAAAAATAGACTTTCAGCTACATTCTACAAAATGTTACGGAACGAGGCGAATTCGCACTTCGTCTTGTGGTTCTATATGTTACGTACGGTACTCTTTAAACCCAACTTGTTCAATATGTAAAACAGTTTTAAGGATCGGCATCGTTGTCGATCTCCAGTTCCTGACTTTAGCTCATTCAGTTTTTCAATAACTAATACTACGTTACGCTTATGTGAGTCAAAGCCAGTCGTTCGTTGAGTTTTCTAGTTATAATATATAGTTTTCTTAACGCCTAATAGACCGTGTGTATGGTTAATAGGCAGAAAAGGGGGGGGGGTCACAGCCTAAATGTCTCGCGTTGATCTTAGTCGAGTTAAATTTGTTTTTTTCCTAATGAGGTTGATAAATGACTACTTCATGGAAAGGAAACGGGGAGCTATACACTATGGTGGTGAAGTACAAACATCTGCTTAGGAAAAAACGATCACAGACATTCCTGGCAAAAACTGAGATTGGCGGCGCGCAAAACACTGTGTCACAAATGCATCATTTCGTCTTCACTGATGCAAATGGTAACAAACTTTGTTTTTCATCCTTTTAGCGATGCTGATCGATTACTGTTACATGAATGTGGATTGATGAACTTTGGTCCGTATTTAAAATTCTGAGAAAATAGAAGGTTACGAATATTACGGCTTAACCTAAATTCAAAAGACACTGTGTCAATTAACATCAGCAGTGACAACTTGCATAGCCGCTTTTTTATCATACGCATAATCTTGCACCGTGCTGGTGAAATGAAGGCTATCACGTTCATGTCGGGATGGATAACTATAATACTTCTGAATAGCCGAGCACAGACAATCGATTATTAACTGCAATGAATTATCGGCTATCTGTTGCCCACCGCTTATAAAGAAGTGATTTTTGCAATAACGGTATCAAACATTTGAAAACGTGAATCTATTAATCGAAACCTGCTTATCAAAAATAAAATATCATCTACCAAACATGCAAATGGCTTTATTTTATGCCGTACGTCCTAATGATGACCGATGTCCTTTTCTTGAAATAGACATTTACGAAATAATTTCTTCGCTGTTGTTTCTCATGCAACGTAACATGGAATCCTGACCCATTTCTATGTCTAAAAGTGTCTTCTCTTCAGTTGTTGCGCAAAACTTTAAAATATTAATTGAGCGAACTGAACAATTATGATAAAGATGTTGCATTCAAGAAAACTTGAATAAGCATATGAATAATCTGATCGCACTGAAGAAAATTCGCGTAAGTTGTTTAATATGAATAGAGACTTCCATATTCCAAATCTTACGGTATGCTTATGTTGTTACGAGATTGCGAATGGATGGTCCACATTTACTTTCTAGAATGTTTCCTGGATTTAATGAATAAATTTCGCCATAATTTTATCCACCGCTTCGCAACAGCACCGATGACCACAGCAAAACGCTACAACATCATCTTAACTACAATTTAAAACAACATAATATGTGCTATTTGAGGGACAGAGCAAAAGTGTCAGTTGCGATATGCGCAATTCTGTCGGCACTGGTCTCTGCCAAATTTACATTCTGTTCCTTCTCTTGTTTGTGTTTCACATGGAGAGAATAGTCAGGCACAGCCGAACGATGAGTGCATCAGCGTAGCAGATGTCGAAAAGTGAAAGTTGCTGCTTGCAGCCAACCTCGTTTTGTTGACATTTCCTGAAACTGGCCTACAGCGCTCTCTGAAAAGGTTTACAGCAAAATGCCACTTGGCGGGCATACATGTGAACGCATCTAAAACGAAAAGCCTAGAGGTTTCTCGTTCTACTGCCCGTTGCTCTCCACAGACAGGCCGTGGAGCAGATGTAAAAGTCCATATGCTTTTTCTATGATGGAAAATTTAAGGAAGAGATCTACCGGCGAATTTTAGTAGCCAATGGCGTTCTGTGTGAACTAGCCCGACCTATTATGACTAAAGCAGTGCTGAATCTGAAAATTATGATATTTCTATTCAAGTCGATTTTCCTCTCAATGCTCATTTAAGGTCATTACGCTGTCATAAAATGGAGAACGCGGGAAACATCGTCTGGCGCATCTTTCTCTGCGACTACAATTAGTGATATAGGCTGACTGATTGATGCATTTGCAGCATCTTCTGTCTTTAAACGATTGATTCCAGATTCAGCTACTACTCTGCATTCCCACACGAAGGTTACCAATAAAACTCGTCACAAATTTTTGATGAATTTGCGGCTGGCATTCTGTATGATCCCACTGACCGCTAGCGGCGCGGCGCGGTAGTTGCTCTAAGTGGCTGACTTCTTCTCAAAAAATAGACCTTTGCAAACTATTGCTATCGTCTTTTGTATCTTGCAACACCCATTCGGAATTAAACTGTTCCTGGCATGAATCTTTTAGTCTTCTATTTTCCCTCGCTCCCTATTTGACATTTAACAGTTGTGATTATTATGTTTGTCTATTACACCCCGTAACATCAGACTGTGAAATGCCATTATACCACTCATTCTAGTACGTGAAATATAGGTGTTCCCCGACAATGCCATTCCAGTATTTCATTGCTGAAATGTAAGTTGTCAGCATATCGCTGCCATTCCTCTGTTCCTAATAATCTACAAATGCTAAAATTGAAACGTTGATATAGAACTTTTATCGTATCATTCATTCCATTTAAGTATTCGAGTTGATGATTCCAAAATCCTGATATACATCGAAACCATAATGTTGTCATGTTCAGCAACTACATGTTGAGAGTTTTCATTATCAGTTTGCTCCTAAATATGTTTGTCTGTCTTCGTTTTATAGCGTTTTGATCGAGTTTAAATTATGTTCCACTTGCTGTAAGAAAGATTCAGTAGCCATTCCATTCATACAATGAAGCATGACTAACGATTGATTAATTCAGGTATAAACGTCTTAGGATTTTCTCAACAAGCATTCTAATATGCACCGCGCAAAGAAAAACACAGAATTAAAGATTGATTTATGTGATGTTTCATCAAATGCAAAGAACGTCCTTTACAATTTCTTTTCAATTCGTTTTTGAGAAGCAGGCCCATATTAGGAACAATTTTCTTCTCTTCTTAACCTGCATACATTTGATTCACAGGCAATTTATAGTAAAATTTGTAACAAAAACTCAATCATCCAATACGAATTGTTGTTCCACTGATTTGCAATCACTGTTTAAAAGCATGACCGTTGCTAGAAATGTTAGTGATATTTCATCTTTCAGCGGTATGTGATATTGACATATAAAGGTGTTTTAAATTTATGCTATGCAATTTTGTGCTGCTGCGATAAATGCGTTATACTTCATCGCTAAGATTCAAAGATTCAAAGATTGCTCGGGCTTTCAGTGTGGATTCTTCATAGTTCCCACACGCCGAGCGCAATCATGCCAGGCTGTTTTGTCCTTGGCGGTTTGTCATCTCTAAGAAGGATACATTAATTGTTTTATATTGTCATAGATCGCGTCTGCTGCCTGTTGTAACGATATGCGACAACCTTTAAAATGGATTCCACAAATATTGTGCTAGCCAGTGCTAAATATGATATAATTCTGCACTTATTTTGCAGTTATTTAAACAGGGCAAGTGATTCCTAATCCAAACTCACATTAAATCTTCAATCCGCTAATTGTATTATTGTAGTTTAAATTAATTGTATCCGACCCTAAGTAATGTGTACGCTTCAATAATAAGATAACATTTCCATTTTCAAGAGAAAAGGGTGGAAATGTCGCTGTAATGCTCCAACATTATTTTGAAAATACGATTGAAAGGTCAGTGTTAATCGTTCTCCCTTAAATATCGACCGTTTTGAACAGTGTTCGACGCTAACAGAGAATTGGTACGAATTGCAATGTCTGTGCTACTTTTCTTGTTTTAATTTACAGCGTTTATTCTTAATGAGAAATCCAGCTGACCTTAGTGCTCCGGTAGGTATGGAACGGAACGAGATATAGATTCGCTGTTTGTTTCACTAACAGTTATTTGTCCTCTCTTCCCAGTTCATGGTTCAAAGCAGCATTTTGAAAAGTTGATGTGAACCGCTTCGTCTGTAATTGCCCAGATGATGAGACCGGTGTGCGATGTCACAACGCATAGGTAAATGATTTGGTAAATAATTGCGTATCGTTTTTATCAGCTGTTGTCTTGAACCATGGGTTAAAAATCGAAGATCATTAACCTTTATGCTTTTCGCTTATTTCCATTCACTGTTTTATAGCAGTTCCGTTTGTTTATTGGTGGCTATTGAAAATTTGATTATGTTGTGGTAACGTCACCTGACAGCTGGAAAAAACCGTACTACTGCCTTAAAACGCACTCTTCTGGTTGTATCGTCGTGATCGCGAAACAAATACTCTCACATCTGGTATTCTGTGTTTTTCCAAGGTAGGTAGTGAATTTCTAGACTTCGTGGTTGTTTACTTCGAAGAACAGTGATGTGTGTGATTTTTATGCAAAGAAACTGGCGTTTAATGACAAGGTTGATGCAGTGCTTGTATTCGAAATTTAACGCCTAGGAATTGTACTTTTCTTCGTCACATGCTGCTCCTTGCTACTTCGGTACAGTTGTTCACTGTTTATGTTAGTTTGTCTTTCAAAACTCTGATTGTTGTCTTTAGTCATCTGTATCAACTACTCTGTTCCAGCTCTCAACTACTCAAGTTGGAGCCAAGAAATCGGTGATTGCAGCAGTCAGCACTACAGGAGGTAAGTTCCGTGTTGCATGTTGTAACGTTTGTTCCACATCTGACGAAAATAATTTAGATGACGTCTGCCATGCTACCCATCTGTACAAATTCGATGTTCTGGTGGTCACGAAGTTCATTTTACGGTAAGGAGGTGCTTGGTTGTAGGGCTGGAGTAGATTGCTCTGTGCCGGCATGAATATCCCCT